ATGTATGGCAACCCTCTCAAGGTGGTCTACAAATGACTTTAGAGAATAAGAAAGGATATTGATTCGGATTTACTGTGGTAGTTACTAGGTCTTATGGTTTAGATATTAAGAGTCCCCCAAAAGTTCATGTGGCTGCATCATTGTAGTATGTTGATTTTTAAGTCCTTGGACATAAACTGAGGAGTGTGGTAGCTGAATCAATGGCATTCCATTCCATGTGTGAGACAATGCTAGGAAGCATAGAGGTAAAATGATCGGATCATGGCAGTAATCCAATCAGTAAATGAATCCCCTAGTAGGGATTAACTGAGTGTAACTTTAGGCTGGGAAGTTGTGACTGTAGGAGGTGGGTCACAGGGGACATGCCATTGGGATAGGTATTTGGTGAGCTGAGCTTGGTCTTTCTGTCTCTCTGCTTCTGATGTGATGTCCTAGACAACTTTCCTCTGCCACACTCTTCCACAATGATTTTCTGCCTCACCTTGAGCCCCAAGGAATGGACATGCTGTCTATGGACTGAGACCTCTGAAACCATGAGCCCCAAATAAACATCTCCTTCTATAAATTGTTTTTTTTTTTCCAGGTCTTTTAGACACAGCAGCAAAAAAAAAAAAAAAAAAAAAAGCTGACTAAAACATGGGATAGTGCTGGGTTAACGTTCCCATCCATGAACAAGGGGTTACAAGGTGTGAAACTTCGGTCTGTTTCAAAGGAAAACAGTGTCCAGGCTTTTTTGTTGATAGTGGTGGTGTTTTATTTTGCTTTTTTGTTTGTTTGTTTTGTTTGTTTTTCAACTTGCTCAGATACAGTGCAGAGAGGAAGAGAAAGGGACTCAATAGCTATCAAGGTCAAATATAAAAACAGATTCAGAATGTTTACTACAAATCAAAACCACAGTGAAATACCACTTCACATCCAGTACTATAGCTCTAATCAACAAGAAAATAACACATATTTGCAAGAAAATGGAGAAATTTTATCACTAGTCAAATGCTGGTGGGGATGTAACATGGTTCCATCACTGTGGAAAATAGCTTGGCAGTTTCAAACAGTTCTACATAAAGTTACCATATGGCCCAGCAATATCACCCCTAGGTACATATCCAAGAGAAATGAAAACATATTCACATAAAAATTTGTATGCAAACTATTAACAGCACTATTTATACTAACTAAAAAGTGGGAATAACCCAAATGTCCATCAACTCATAAATAAATAGAATATACTATATTCATATAGCTAAATACTATTAGTAATAAACAGAAAAAAAGTACAGATACATGCTACAATACTTATGAGCCTTGGGAATATTATGCCACAAAAATCATGAGTCACAGTAGGCCACCCATGTGTGATTCCATTTATATAAATCCAAAGTAGGCATTTTTTTTCCTTTTGGTACTAGGGATTGAACCCATGGCTGTTTAACCACTGAGCAACATCTCCAGCCCTTTATTTATTTATTTATTTTTACATATTACAATTAGTTACCAACACAGTAGAACGCATTTTGATACACTGTACACAAATGGAGCATAACTTCTCATTTTTCTGGCTATACATGGTGTTGAGTCACACCAGTAGTGTAAACATAATATAAAGGGTAATAATATCTGTCTTGTTCTACTGTCTTTCCCATCCTCACAGCTCCACCCCTCTCCTCCCTCCCCTCTGCACAATCCAAATTTCCTTCATTCTTCCCTACGCCCTGCCTGCCCCTACTGTGGATCAGCATCTGCTTATAAGAGAAAACATTAGGCTTTTGATTTTTGAAATTGGCTTATTTCATGATAACTAGGGGATGATATTCTCTAATTCCATCCATTTCTCTACAAATGCCATAATTTCATTCTTTGTAAGGCTGAGTAATATTCCATTGTGTATATATACCACAGTTTCTTTATCCAGTCATCTATTATAGGGCATCCAGGTTGGTTCCATAGCTTAGCTATTGTGAATTGAGCTGCTATAAACATTGACGTGACTGCATCATTGTAGTATGCTGACTTTTAAGTCATTGCGTATAAACAGTGGAGTTGCCGTAGCTGAATCAAATAGTGTTCCATTCCAAGTTTTCTGAGAAATCTCCATACTATTTTCCATAGTGGTTGCACCAATTTTCAGTCCTACAAGCAATGTATGAGTGTACCTATTTCCCCCACATCCTCAACCAACACTTATTATTTCTTGTATGCTTCATGTTTGTCATTCTGACTGGAATGAAATGAGATCTTAGAGTACTTTCAATTTGCCCTTTCTCTAATTGCTAGATGATAAACATTTTTTCATGTTTGTTGATCAATTGTATTTCTTCTTCTGTGAAGGGTCTGTTCAGTTCCTTTGCCCATTTATTGATTGGGTTATTTGGTTTTCTTTTGGTGGTAAGTTTTTTGAGTTCTTTATATATCCTGGATATTAATGATCTACCTGGTGGGTGTGATAAAAATTCTCTCCTATTCTGTAGGCTCTCTCTTGATGTTATTGATTGTTTCCTTTGCTAACAAGAAGCTTTTTAGTTTGAATCCATAACGTTTATTGATTCTTTATTTTACTTCTTGCACTTTAGGAGTCTTGTTGAGGAAGTCAGATCCTAGGCCGACATGATGAAGATTTGGACCTACTTTTCTTCTATTAGGCACAGGATCTCTGTTCTAGTGCCTAAGTCATTTTTTTTAATGTTTTATTTAGAGACAAGATCTCTCTGAGTTGCTTATGGTCTTGCTAAATTGCTAAGGCTGACTTTGAACTTGCCATCCTCCTGCCTCAGCCTCCTGAGCAGCAGGGATTACAGGCATGCATCACCATGTCCAAACAAATAGGCAAATTTATAGACAAACAAAGTAGATCCACAGTTTCTTAGTGATAAGGGAAGAGGACTGTTAGTTGGCAGCAGCCAAAGGGTGTGGGGTTTCTTTTGAGGATCACAAAGGTATTCTAAAATTTATTGAGCTGATAGCTGCAAATCTTTACTAAAAGCCATTCAGTGGTTCACCTTAATTGGGTTAAATAAAGGTACAATATGTGAATTAAGTCTCAATAAAAATATTCATTAAAAATAATAATAATCTTCAACCTTTATTTTACACCTAATATAAAAATTAATTCAAATTGGTTATTGAGTTACACATAAAACCTAGAGCAATAAAATTTCTAGAAGTAAGCAGAGGAAAAAAATCTGTAACTTTAAATTAGCCATAGTTGTTAGATATAACACACAAAGCATTAAAAAAAGAAAGCATGATAAATTGAATTGTATTTATTTAAAACATTTTTTTAGAGAATAGTCATCCTTTGCTAAAGAGAATGGAAAATGTCATGGCCACTTCAGAAAAAGTTCTCTGTTCTTTATAAAATTAAATATGTTCCCACCATATGATACAGAAATTCCACTTCCACCCAAGAGGAATGAAATATTGTGTTCACACAAAAATATGTACATGAATGTTTATGGCAGCTTTATTCGTTTTGCACAAAACTGGAAACAACCCAGATGTCTTTCAACCCATGAAAGCATAAACAATCTGTGATACAGCTGTACTTAAAATACTGCTCCTATTAAAAGCAACTAACTATTGATTCGTGCAACAACTTGGATGGCTCCTAAATGCCTTTTGTGAAGTAAAAAGATCCAGACCCAAAAGGCTACATATTGTCTGATTCCATTCGCATTACACTTATCAAATGGAATAATTACAGGGAAGAAAACCAGTCAGTGTTTTCCAGGAGAAGGAGGTATACAAAATGATCCACAAATGCATAGTTTTGGGGGAAAGTTTGTGATGACAGAAGTGTTCAAATCTGGAAAGCTGTTAGTAGACACATAATTTATTCATTTGTCTAAACTCCACATAACAATACAATTTTGAACATTATTTTGTGCATTTTTTTTTAAAAAAGAAACTAACATATAGAAGTAATTGACTCTTCAAAAGAGTCAAGATTATGAAAGAGAATATAAAAGTGACCCACCATCAGAGGCTGAAAGAGACTAAGGAGATATAATAAGTAAATTCAATGTGGGGTCAAAACCAGCAAAATCCAAGTGAGTTTTATACTTGGGTTAAGCATTCTACCAAAGTTAACTTCTTTATTTAGGTAAATGTCCCATGGTTATAGTAGATATTAACACAAGAGGAACCTGGATAACGATTACATAGGAACTACAAATCTTTGATAAGTCCAAAATCTTCTCAATTTTTAAAATAACAAACCTTTAAAAAGCACTATACTAAGCTAAAGGGTTTTCAAATATATCTCTCCTATATATACTGTCTCATGCAGTTTCAACCATGTGGTAGTCTAATCCTCCACACCCAAATTCACACGAAAATATTTATGCCTTAATCCCCAGAACCTGTGAATGTGTTACCTTAAAATAGAAATAAATATTAAAAAATTCTCTCAGTGGCCACGTGGGGCTATAGTTGCAATTAAATTCTAGTTTGCTAGTATTTTAATATTGGATGACTTTTTTTCAATTTCAACCTACTCCATTCTGATAGTAATATATTGACTGGAATGTATTCAAATCTATTTTTTTTCTGTTTCTATGCTAATCATTTGCTACAATTTTTAAACTACATGAGTTTGTATTCTTACAGTTCTGTTCACCATAAATCTAAAATCCATTTCACTGGGACAAAATCAACTGTCTAGGACCAGCTCTCTGCAGACACTTAGAAGAGAATCTGTTTCTTTGTCTCTGCTAACTTCTGGCTCTGTGTTCCTTGTCTCCCTTAGCTTGCTCCATCTTCAAACCCAGGAACACAGGTCTTCAAATCTGTCTGCTGTCATCATCACATAATCTTCACTTCTCTCTAGATCTCCAAGTTTGACCCTCCTGCCCCCCTCCCATAGGGGCTCTTGTGATCACATCTGTGGTCACCTGAATCATTCAGGATAATTTTCCCATCTGCAAAATCCTTTTGCAATGAATTTTTTTTTTATCTGTGTGTGTTAAAAGCAGTGGACCCAGAAGTCAAACTTAGTTTGTACTTACGTATAATCTTTGGTGACTACAGTATTCTGTGCAAAGTCATAGTGATGACACCTTCTATAGTAACAGCACTATAGATTTTCCTATTCTGTAGATCAGATCATTGAGAGTTAGTCTTCTCGTAAAGATCTAGGACTAAATAATAAAAAATATTAAATGTATTGCATAAATTTCAGGGAAAATGGCCTATTTTATGAGTAAAGTGATGATGTAAACCTGAGAGAAGTAAGAAGAGCTGTTTCTTATGGCCATTGTTATCACACATGAATATCAAATGAGGTAGTGGGGCAGTGGTCAGGTGGTCAGTTGGGAGAAGAACAATAATAATTAGGGCAGACCTCTAGGCCATCTAGGGGCTTAATAAAGTCCATGTGTTTAGACAGGGGCTTGAAGTTCTCAGATGAGAGTTCGTTTCATCATATCTCATTTTGTTTAAGAACCAAATGATTGTCGAAGAGAGATTCTCATCACCCTCACTGGATTATCCAGGAGTAGAAACTCTCATCTGGAAGTCAATTGCTCTCATCTCCAGGTGCTACAATATCATCAACCTATAATTATATTTTTCATGTAAATTAAAGAGATTCAGATAGCATATTCATGTTTAAACCTCTTGTTTAGTTAGTGTATAAGGAGAATGAAGCTAATAATTTAACCTAATATTTCATCATCTTAGAAACAGACATATGTAAGGGCATACCCCTTGACAATAGGTAAAATTTAGTTCCAGAGAAAATTTGATTGAATTGATTCGAAACAAAATAAGTCTGTGAATAGTGAGTGTAGTAGAATTAGATGTAGAAGTAGAAGGGAAATGAATTTGTGTTGTTAAATATCTTTTAGTATTTCAGGTATGTCAGTGATACCTAGTGAAATGAATATATATATTTGGCCTTATATGCCAGCCTCTGTGTTAACAGTTTGGTATTTTAAATAATATATTTAGCTAACATCTTTCTCTTTCTGGTTGCTCATGTGAAACTGGATACAGTCTGTATCACTGGGATTGTATCGGTATCATTAAATAAGGCAAAATGTAATAATAATAAAAATAATGAACTGCATGGGTAGTGTATAAAATATAACATTTGGCTTAAACCATTATTTAAAATTTCATTTAAATATGATTTTATGTATCATTCTTATAAAGTCAACTGTAGAAGATCTTGTGGAAATTTCCTAGTTATGCTAAAATCGGCCCAGCATCTTTGAGTTCAGGAAAGAATCATTATTTCTTTGATGGATTTATATTTCTAAAATGTCAGATACTAGCCTAACCTAATCTACCTTCACTAGTTAGAGTTTAAATTTGAATTATTCAAATTTACTTTTTCTAGAAATATAATTTTCTGATTTAAAATTCATGTAATAATATGCACTGAATTGACGAAGAGTTGCTAATTAGAGAAGCATCAGGGACTTCTTTTGGTTCTCACACCTAACTGGTATGTAATGAGCAGAAAACTGCTCATAAGAATAAAAGTCTTTTAGTATTTGAAAAAGAAGGGCTAAGTTTAGTAATTTACATTATTCTCAATAGTCTTTTAACACAATTACCATCTTTGTCAACATTTTTTATTTTTAAAGCACTTTAGAAATGAAAGTTCTGTGTTACAATTTCTCTATTCCTTAATGGAATCTTAATAAAATAAATCTTGTACATGAAACATTCAATACATTTATTAAAAAGTATTTATAATAGCTTTGGTTTGGTGATATAAATTATCAGTTAATTTTGAAGTTATCTTTCTTGGAAATTCAAACTCATGAACACCTTGAACCTCACAGTTCTATTATGAATATGTTTATCCCCATTCTACAGATGAGGAAGCCTTGACTCGTTTGTCCTAGAATCATATGTTCCATAATTGGTAGAGCCATAATTTAAACACAAACTGAAGTCTTTCCCCATCCTATTCCAGATTCTCAGGTAAAACCCGTCAAATAGTGCACTTGATCCATCTCTGTGGTTTGAATTTTTATCCTCTGTGAACTAGTGAACCGAGTCAGTGCCCTGATCCTTCATATGGATGCAGCAGGTGACTGCTTTTTTTACACTAAAGCATCTTCAGTGTGGTTGACCAAAGATGAGAATTGGAATAGCATCTGGCTCAGTCTGGTGCCTTTAGTGAAGAAATATTTCCAAATATATCATGAATAGGAAAAGATCCAACTTCAAGCCTGTAAGTTCTCATTAATAAAAAGAATGTTGGTACATCTGATTTATTGGGAAATCTTTCTTTACCAGAACAGAAATGTGTTCATGTCTGGGGTTTTATGTTCCACTGAATTGCTTGATGGATATGTTATTCTGGATCACCTGAAATTTAAGGGTTCTTTTTAAAATAAATGTTTAAAAAAAGCAGCAGTGCTAATGGCACAATAAAATTGACAAGTTGAAAATAAAATGTCAGAAATATAAAAAATTAAAGTTCTCTTAGCAATATTAACCTACCATATAGCACATAATGTCTAAATTATGGGGGATTTACAGACCTAAGTAGTAAGCCAAAAAAATTATTCTGTGAAAATGTGAGCAAGAAGTTTTGATCCAATTTTCATGCCATCGCAAGTAGGTCTTGATAAATAACAGTTTATATTATTGATGCACTATTATTGGAGCGTCAGTCGGCATTCATGACAAAAAAAAAAGAATTTACTTTGCTGTTGGGGAGAAATGAACATAAATCCATGTTTTTCTCTTTTCTTTTTTTTCTAATGTTATTAAGTTTGTAATTGACACATAGTGGATGTCAAATTTATGGGGTACAGTGTGATGTTTCCATTTATGTATTCATTATGTAATTATCAAATCAAAGCAATTAGCATACTGATTGAATTGCTTCCACCCTGTCATTCTGTTCTCTTATTTTTAAAGTGGAGAAAATACTTCTGTGAGGTAGAGCAAGAGAAAGACCTGAAATGCTAGCTCACAGAATGCCAGTTCTGGTATCAATGGTAATACCCTTTTCTTATAAATGAATGTCAATAGTATTCATACAATTAAGGAGAAAAGACATGGTGTAATACTCCCCGTTTATTTAACTCAGTAGGATTCAAATTCTTCACATGGTATTGAATTTATGTTCTAATTTCTTAATTATCAAATTTATTTTTTAAACTTTTAGCCCAGTAGAATGTGAGATGTCCAATAATTTTGGTAAGGAGGTAAAGAGTTTTAAATAAATTTTGAAATGATAATGTCACAAAAGTCACATGAAAATCCATATGAATTAAATTATTCTTGAAAGTGATCATATTTGGCTACAAGGCGGGAGTCAAGAAGAGAGAAGGGAATTGTAGCTGATGAGCAAGAGGCCCAGAGGGATGCTGCAAAAGAAACAGTCCAATTCTCCAGGTCTTACCTTCCTTATGTGCAGATTGAGATGGCTTGGGTTGGATCTCATGTAGAGTATATTCTGACTTGAACATCTTTCTGGTATTGTACTACAAAAATATGAATCATGTCTAGGATGTTAAAAAATCCAAATATATCTCCAATCCCCTTTCTCCTTTTCTTGTCTTTCTCTTTCTACTTCTTCCTCCACCACTTATGCTTTCTTTTTTTTATTTCCCTTGGAATTCCTCTATTTCCCTTTTTCTTCTCCTTTGACTTTTTTCTCATTTCTATATAATCTTTTTGTTCTTCCTGTTCTTTTCATGCAGAATTTATAGACCCACTCATATTTTATGTAAATTTTCCAACAGAGGATGGATAACCTCTTCTCATAATACTATTTTGTTTTCTTTTTTAATTTTTTCTTTTTTGCTTAAAATCATTCTATTCCTGCTGAAGCAAAAATATCTTTATTTTCACAAAGTCTATTGAAGCAAAAATATCCTTATTTTCAAACAGTCTATTGAACTCTTTTTCAGCTATGATGCTTTTGCTTTCATTCCATGGTAACAGGGGGTTTTTCTCACTGCCATGTTTAGATTTCTGCTGCATTCCACATTCTGTACTCTGAGATTCTTTAGGATCTGAAACTTTTTCTTATCACATTTATATTTGAAACACACCTTTTTATTTTATTTATTCATGTGTCATTTTGCTAAAAGGGCTTGAAGCAGGATGAAATAAAAGTCATAAATAATAAAGCTAATAAAACTGAAATGGAAATTTTTTTTTGAAAAGTCAGTCATTGAAAAGTAAAATGAATTAAGCCATCACACCATATTTAGCTAACTGTGTCCTTCATGGCAGTCAAATGATAAAGGACTGTCTATATATTGTTACATTTTGATCCCTCATCAGGAAGAAGAAACCTGTCAATTAAAAAAATACATTTTCTTGAATAAATACATGTTATTGAATAGAAATTTGTCATATGGTAGTTTCTATGTCCTAATTAACTCATTGAAAGCACACCTACCAACAGCAGAATGTACTATCCATATTTTATAGTGTTTTGCTCTTTAATGTTTTATTGTTTAAAAACATTTATCAATATGCTGTCATCCACAGATTTAAGTGAAAAGGCAACAGATTTTCTTTCTCTGTCCTGCCCTGCAGCTTTATTCCTGAGAAACAATGGTTTAAGTGAACACTTTTGGCCTGGTTGTTGCTTTCATATCTCTGCATCATGTGCTTGTACTACAATTGCTTAATTTATTACAGTAAGTGTGCAATTCCCAGTTTGATAGAGGAGCAATTAGGCTCACAACTCACATGCATACACACACTTTCACACATTACCTCATTCGGCTCTGGAATATAGATTATATCTGTTATGAAATAAATAGATTTACAGCAATATAACTAAAATAATCACTGCAGTCAAAAAGTGCATTATATCATGTTCCTAGCACGTGAGCTCCTGGATGAGAATGTTTTGTTGTGTGGTGTTATTTTTACCATGGTGTCTCCAGGTTTTGAAACACTTCCTGGCTGTTGTCAACAATCAATAATGAATTGCTGAATAAATAAGCTTCCTTTCAGAGCCTCTCCATTTTCTTAAACTAATAATTAGCTCACTTTTATTTTGCAGTTTAATACACACACACACATACACACACACACACACACACACACACACACATATATATATTTCATTTTCCAAAATACTTACTGATTATTTTTCTATTGAAGTTATGCCTGCATAGATCTATCACACCCAGATACACTTACTTGATTGCTCCAGATGAAGCTAGTGGCTCCCAAGATTATCATATTAATATATTTTAATAAATGAAGATGACATAAGCATAAAAACATGTACGGGTGACAGTTACACATGGGAAATTAGTAGAATAGCTTATTTAAAATTTTTCTTCATCCAAGCATTAATTATTTCACACATATTAATTTGTTCTTGCATTCATTCATTAAACAAAATTTTGAGTGATTAAACACTCTATTGAATTTCAAAGAACTAGTACTCAAGTTATTCACATTTAGGTAAAGGAGACATATAACAAATCCAGCAATTGCATTTAGAATCTGGTCAGCAAGTCGAGTGGGATATGAAAGAGAAGAATCAAGGACTACATGGGAACAGATAACTGAAGAGTCTACACAGAGATCATTGTTCAAGTTCATGAAGGATCAATGGGAAAAGAGGAAACTGGAAGAACAAAGTCAAAAGCAAGAGCCCATAATATTTGAAAGCTATATCACATTTTGAAAAAAGACTTGGTACAGGATTTTTGGAGCACAAGCTTTTTAGGAAAGGATGAATAATAGGGTCTTGCAAGCCAGCTAAGGCAGTTTGTTAAGGAAAAGATTAGGATTTAGGAATATTACTTGACAGATGCATGTAGGATGCATTAGTAATTGAAAGGCTGAAAATAGATCACTTAGAAATCTTTCATATGAGGCTAGGAGAATGCATTGAGAGAGCTTAGACACTCTTGATAGAGTTGTAGAGAAGTATGTAGAATTGAGAATTGAATAAGAGGTTTAAAGCAGGAACTCAATATGAGCAAAGATCAATTCAAAATTGTGCACTTAAGGAGGCCTATCTTGATACTCGTACTTCAGAGTTCTTAGCTGAGTCCACCGTGTTCTTCAGGAAATTAGATACAGTTCATCATGTCTAATTTTTTATTTGGATTAACTAATACATTATTCACTATGTGATGCATTTATTTAGCAATGTCAGCCTTCACAAAGATTAATTCTGGTCAAAAAGGAATAAAAGCATATTGCACTTGAAAAAACACAGAACATTATAATTAGAGACAGATCATAAATATAACAGCAATTTATGGAGGACACAGGTCAGCAAGAAAAAATGCAGAAACCCCACACATGTCACTTCTTTGTCTTTTCAACATGTTGAGTCCAAATAGGGGTTTTCTGAACCAAGTGTATGATGGAAAGTGATTATCAACACTTTTTAAACAACAATAATTGGTATCTGGTAAGCCCATGCTCTGGAAAATGGAGTAAATTCATCTCTGAGCATATCATTAAATAGAAAACAAATGGAGGATAATTAAAGAAGATAAAAATCAGAAGTAAAAAGAAAAGTTTGTTTTAGAATAAGTGATTTATATTCACTCTATGATTTATTTTTATGATGAGACCCCATGAAAATTCATAGCCCATCAGTGAATGCTGACTGAGTGTTCATAAAGAAGAATGGACAAATGTCACCATGGATAAACCAGGGAAACTTTCTCCTGGACAACAGAACATCTTCATTTTTACAAAACTCCTTTTGTTTCATACTCTTGTTGTGCTCCTTTGAGCTGTTCCTCTGCACAAAAGAAACATAAGCAAAAGTCATAATATGATACCTTAGAGGTATATGTCTCTGTGTGTGCTCATTCTGACCTAAGCAACATTTTTAAATTCTTTATTTCCACAAAATTACCACCACAGCAGGTCTCACTCCAATTAATTTTATGATTGAAAATAGTCATTAATGAATAAAATCCCTGCATACATATTTCAACTGAAAGCAGTGAAATGATGGAAGGGAAAACAATGTACCAGAAAGAGACATTTGGGAGTGTTCACCAACCAAACAGGAGCCTGCGAAAGTAGGTTACATGCTCCATTCAGGGCAGCTTTTTCATCCCTATTATTCAGACTATTAATATTAATGGATTCTGGGAGAGAAAGTTAGGGACCTAGTCTTCCATCTTGCTGTGCAGGAACTGAATATTGCATGATACAGAATAAATGGAGTGTTACTGATGCCATTTTGTCTCAAATGAAGTTATGGCAGAGAGCAATCCTTTATCGTCAGTCTTTCTTGTTCATTTGGCATCAAGCCCAAAAAGCAGTAATAATAATAATAATAATAATAATAATATATTAGGTGATGTATACATGTATATGTATATAGTCCCTAGCTTGCAAAAGCTGACAGGTACATATTGGGTTAGTGTCATATGAGAGAATCCTAACCTTCTCCCTACCCAGTAGTAAAGTGGGCCTCTCTGGGCTCCACAGAGTGGCAACCTGTCCCCTGGCTGTGTTATTTAACATGATTTAAGAAGGAGGAGACTTATTATGCAACTTACCCACCCACAACAGAGGTGTAAGCTGTTGATGTCCAAGGAAAATTAGGCATGGAATGAAAATGGACTGGCTGGATTCATTAGCTGTAAATTTCCCATTTTTCATTAAGTGCTGTGAGGCTGAGTGATTTCATAAAATGTTTTTGTTTTTTTTTAATGCACAAAGAACAGGATATTAAAGATAATAAAGATAGGTGGTTATACCACCTTGGAGGGGATGTCTTACTAAGGGAAGCAGCTTCATTAGCTCTTATGACTATACACTTTAGACGTCAAGGCTCAAGCATTCCTCAGCTTTTTTTTTTTTTTTTTTTTTTTTTTTTTTTTTTTTTTTTTTTTTTTTTTTTTTTTTT